ACAAACTAGATATATTCATTTGGCATTTAGGAGTATGTGGCATTCTGTCAATATGGTGCCCTGGAATCCAGACACATCTGGTCAAAGTACGAAAGTATGCAGCATAGTAAGTATGACGTTGAAAGTTTCAGAAACCTGAAATACATGTGTAAGGGATCTCAGGTACACGCCACTCCGCTCTTTCTCTGCCTGCCCCTTCCAAGGGCCCCGCAAGCAGCAGAGAAGAGTTATCTTGTGAGAATCAACACTATTTACACCTTTCCACACAAATATTACAAACTCTTTCAATAGACTCTTCACATCATCTCTGAAAAGCAACAGCTGAAAAGAATATGGAAAATGGAGGCTAGGGAAGCTAAACGATGAATCCAGCAAACACTTGTCTGTAACTGTTATTGTTTAGTTTCTCCACTTATCCTAACGTAGAGTTTCCATCCTTTTTTTAAAAATGAGGTTGAAGAGATACCAGGGCCTGCAGAGACCCACCAGTCACTCACAGAGAACGGTCCTGGTGCCCTGAAGGGGGATATAGGCACAAGCTGGCTGGAGGCAGGGTGAATGCCAGGTCCCAGGCCTCCCGCCCGGCCCAGTGTTCCAACCACTGTGCACTTGGGCTCAGTGGCTCCGGTAACTTCCCTCGGGATTACCTTCCAGGAGAGCCCCTTTGTTTTCTAGCCTCATGCAGTCTCACCCACAGCAGTAAACACCTTCTCCTTATCGGGTGAGGCTGTCCCAGGGCCTGGCTTCGACTAATAGCAATGGGAAAGCTGGCTCTCCCATAATCTGCTGTTGGACCGCACCTACCTGCATCCACCCCCAGAGACGTCAGCCCAGGGCACTCCCTGGGCACCTCACGTCTTGGGGCAGCTGATGGGGCTGCTGTGGAGAGCTGGCCCATCGCCTGGGGAGTAGCCAGCTGGGAGCTCCTTTTGCAGGTGAGAGGAGATGTGATTAAGGCCGGGGTGGGGTCACCCAGAGCTTCTAAATTTGCTAAAACTCTACTCCCACGTTTCCTAATTGCCACCCTCTCAGATTTCCAGGTTGGGTGCCAGGATCCAGAGCATGGCTCCTTCTGCCAGCAGGGCCTCAGGAAAGCAGGTTCAAGTGGGCTGTCAGCTCACATCTGGTCTGTCCCCTCCTGGATCCCTGGCCCCAGAGCAGAAAATACTTGGCCCAGAGACGCAGCTGTCATTCTCTCTAAAGCCTGGGCTGTTCCCTGGAAAAGTTGCTACAGCCTTCATGGTGGTTCACTGTTCTCATTAAAGCTCTCCGCCATTCGCCCTCATGCTTCAAGAAGAAATACATGGGAATGTTGCTGTGATCTGTGTAGACCACTGAAAGGAAAGTCTTCAGTAACACCCGGGTGAGCTCCTGAAGCTGAGGGGAGCCGTGGCCGGGTGCCCAGGACCCTGAGGTACTGGCTGAAAACCCACTCTCTTTCCTCTACACCATCTCTTTGTCCTCTTAGCTCACCACGTCACACAGACGAGCAAGACAGGAGGGGACGAGGATCTATGTTTCTTATACAAACAAAACTAAAACCACAGAGGAAGCTTCATGGCTTCACCCCATTTCCACCTGCAGGGGTTCTTTAAGCACATTGGAAACACTTTTTACCAGAAACATGCATCCTTTAGTGACACCTGCCTACTGGAGCCAACCATCTCAAGTGTTTCATTCATAGACAACAGAAAGCACTGCAGAAGGATAAAAAACGAAGAAAAAGGAGAGACTACGGAGCATAATGGCATGCTGGGAAAGTGTTTAAGGGGTATGGGCGTCACCTCCTCGGTGCCTCTCACCGCCATGCCTGGGCACGATTGCACAGGTTAGCAAATCTGGTTTTATCTGAGCTATACAAGAGACGCTTACGAAGCTGGGTCGCAGGCTAAGGCCCATGGGCCACATGTGGCCAAGTAAAGAATGGGCTTCACGTTTTTAAACAGTTGGGGGGAAAAAATAATGTAAAAACATCAGTGTCTACAAATATAGTTTTACTGGCACACACACAGCCATGCCCATTCGCTTATGGACCGTCTGCAGCTGCTTTTGGGCTACAGTGACAGGAGCTGTATGGCCTGCAAGCCTCAAATATTTACCACCTGGCCCTTTTACAGAAAAAAAAAAAAAAGGCT